ACTAAAAAAAAAAAAAAAAAAAAAGATTCATACAGATGGGGTTTTGCCATCTTGCCCAGGCTGGTCTCAAACTCCTGGCCTCAAGTGATCCTCCTGCCTCAGCCTCCTAAAGTGCTGGTGTTAGAGGTGTGAGCCACCACGCTCGGCCTGCAGGAAGATCTTTACTCCTCAGCGTCTCACTCCAACAGAGATCTGGCTCCTACTCCCAGGTTCTCCCCGTTCCTCTCCCCACCAGGTGGGTATTATCATTCCCATTTTACAGATAGGAAAATCAAGGTTCTGTGACACCCCTTTACGGGCATCATAGGGAGCCTGAGGTCCAGGCTGGCTCTCCCGGAAAGCCCAGAGTACCTGGTATTTGTTGGTGGAATTGAAGGGAATCTCAGCCACTTTCTTGTTGCGTTCACGCATCAGCTTCACGGAGCCAGAGGACAGCTCGATGCACTTGAGCAGGGCAGACTCAGAGGCATCCCCGGCCACATCCCTCTGCAGGGAGAGAGAGCCGTCAGAGCAGGGGCAGCGGAGGGCAGGACACAGGCGGGGCCGAGGTGAGGCCAGCAGCTGAGCCCACCTTGAGCACAGGGATGTTGTCCTGACCACCCTTGAAGACAGCACGATTGCAGAGCCCGGCGATGTGAGACAGGGCCACCCAGGTGTGTGAGCTCTTGTCGAATGAGGTTCCTGGGGGAGGCACGTGTGAGGGCCAGGGGCTCCTGGAGCCAGGCGCCCATGGTCCTCACCCGGGGCCTGCGCTCACCTGACTGGTCCTCAGTGGTGTCAGCCTCGTGGATCTGGTTGTCAAACCACATGTGGGCGACCGTCATGCGGTTCTGAGTGAGGGTCCCTGTCTTGTCCGAGCAGATGGTGGACGTGGAGCCCAGGGTTTCTACAGCCTCCAAGTTCTTCACCAGGCAGTTCTTCCGGGCCATGCGCTTGGCAGTCAGCGTCAGACACACCTGGAGGACGAGCAAGGGCAGGCAAGTTACAGGGACAAGCCCGGCAGGCAGGGTTGGATGAATGACACCAGGGCCATAGCCCAGCAGCCCGGCCCCCGGAGAATCCTGAAGGCCTGGAAAAGAACGAGGCAGCAACGCCACCCTCAAGTTCAGACCAACAGAAACAGGGCAGAGATACCCAAAGACAGGGACAAGAATGCTCATAGCAGCCACATGCATAATAGTGCAAAATGGCCAGGCGCAGTGGCTCACGCCTGTAATCCCAGCACTTTGGGAGGCCGAGGTGCAAGGATTGTGTGAGCCCAGGAGTTTAAGACTAGCCTGGGCAACACAGTGAGTCCTCAACTCTAGAGATTTTTTTGTTTTTTCAGTTAGCCAGGCATGGCGGCACGCACCAGTAGTCTTAGCTACTTGGGAAGCTGAGGCAGGAGGATCACTTGAGCCCAGGAGTTCAAGGCTGCAGTAAGCTACGATGGCATCACTGCACTCCAGCCTTGGCGACAGAGTGAGACTCTGTCTTAAAATATTGTCCAGGCCAGACGGGGTGGCTCAGCCCTGTAATCCCAGCACTTTGGGAGACCGAGGTAGGCACATCACTTTAGATCAGGAGTTTGAGACCAGCCTGGCTAACATAGTGAAACCCCGTCCCTACTAAAAATACAAAAGTTAGCCGGGCATGGTGGTGAACACCTGTAATCCCAGCTACTTGGGAAGCTGAGGCACAAGAATCCCTTGAATCCAGGAGGCGGAGGTTGCAGTGATCCGAGATAGTGACGCTACACACCAGCCTGGGCAATAGAGTGAGACTCTGACTCAAAAAAAAAAAAAAAAAATATTGGCCAGGCACAGTGGCTCACGCTTGTAATCCCAGCACTCTGGGAGGCTGAGGCGGGTGGATCATGAGGTCAGGAGATCGAGACCATCCTGGCTAACAAGGTGAAACCCCGTCTCTACTAAAAAATACAAAAAATTAACCAGGCGTGGTGGTGGGTGCCTGTAGTCCCAGCTACTCGGGAGGCTGAGGCAGGAGAATGGCGTGAACCCGGGAAGTGAAGCTTGCAGTGAGCCGAGATCGTGCCACTGCACTCCAGCCTAGGTGACAGAGCAAAAAAAAAAAAAAAAAAAAGAAAAGAAAAATTGTCCAAAACTGCAAACAACTCAGATGTCCACTAACAGCAGAAAAGATAAATTGTGGATAATGGAATGCTATACATTGATAAAAACAAATACATTACTGCTGCCTGCACCCGCATGGGTGAAGGTCAAAAACATGTTCAGCCAAAAAGAGCCAGAAATGAGTTCATACTGAATTATTCCATTAATACAAAGTTTCAACACGGGCAAAGTTAATCTATGCTGTTAGCAGCCAGATTAGCGGTTACCCTTGGCTTGGGGGTGTAGTGGCTAAATAAAGTCTTGAGGGGGCTTCAGGGAGATGCAATCTCGATGCAGCTGACGTGATTGTGTTCAGTTTGCCCCAAATCATCAGACTATATGTTCACAATATGCTTAATCCTTTGCATATAAAAATCTCTTTGACATAAGGTAGCATTTAACATAGCTAATACGGAAAACGGTAAACTTGTTTTTTTTGTTGTTTCGTTTTGTTTTTTTGTTTTTGTTTTTGGACATAGTCTCGCTCTGTCGGCCAGGCTGGAGTGCAGTGGCTCAGTCTCAGTTCACTGCAAACTCCGCCTCCCAGGTTCAAACGATTCTCGTGCCTCAGCCTCCTCAGTAGCTGGGATCACAGGCACCCACCACCACGCCTGGCTAATTTTTGTATCTTTAGTAGAGATGGGGTTTTGTCATGTTGGCCAGGCTGGTCTTGAACTCCTGATCTCAAGTGATCCACCCACCTCGGATTCCCAAAGTGCTGGGATTACAGGCGTGAGCCACCCTGTTCAGCCTTGATATGTAAAACTTTGCATAAAACATTAAGTCAAACAATGAAAGAGGAAAATGGTATTTCCAGGATAGTCCCTGGCATGCACCTTGAAGACAGCATTTAGTCAATATGCTCACAGCTGTCAGGGGGACCTCACAGAGAACGGACTTCTGGGGTGAAGCAGGCAGCAAAGAAGCCAGAGGAAAACTTTTAAATTATTATTAGTATTAGTATTAGTATTTTTTTCTTGAGATGGATTCTCCCTGTGATAAACAGGCTGGAGCGCAGTAGTGCAATCATGGCTCACTACAGCCTCAACCTCCTGGGTCAGCCTCCCGAGTAGCTGGGACTACAGGCATGTATCAACACGCCTGGCTAATTTTTAAATTTTATTTTATTTATTTATTTTTTTGGGGGGATAGAGTCTGGCTCTTGTCATCCGGGCTGGAGTACAGTGGCGTGATCTTGGCTCACTGCAACCTCTGACTCCTGGATTCAAGCTATTCTCCTGCCTTAGTCTCCTGAGTAGCTGGGATTACAGGCACCTGCCACCAAGCCCGGCTAATTTTTTTTCTTTTTTTTCTTTTTTTAAGACGGAGCCTCGCTCTGTCACCCAGGCTGGAGTGCAGTGGCACGATCTCGGCCCACTGCAAGCTCCACCTCCTGGATTCACGCCATTCTCCTAACTCAGCCTCCCAAGTAGCTGGGACTACAGGTGCCTGCCACCACGCCCGGCTAATTTTTTTGTATTTTTAGTAGAGACGGAGTTTCACTGTGTTAGCCAGGATGGTCTTGATCTCCTGATCTTGTGATCTGCCCGCCTCAGCCTCCCAAAGTGCCAGGACTACAAGTGTGAGCCACCGGGGTTGGCCACGCCCAGCTAATTTTTGTATTTTTAGTAAAGATGGGGTTTTGCCATGTTGGCCAGGCTGGTCTCGAACTCCTGACCTCAGGTGATCCTCCCGCCTCAGCCTCCCAAAGTGCTGGGACTACAGGCGTGAGCCACCGCACCAGCCTTTACATTTTTTTGTAGAGATGGGGTCTCACTCTGTTGTCCCGGCTGGTCTCAAACTCCTGACCTCAAGCAGTCCTCCTGCCTGGGCCTCCCAAACTGTTGGGATTACAGGAGTGAGCCATTGCACCAGGCTTATTATTTTATTTATTTTATTTATTTATTTATTTTTTGAGATGGCATCTTGCTCTGTCACCCAGGCTGGAGAGAAATGGCATGATCTCGGCTCACTGCAACCTCTGCCTCCCGGGTTCAAGTGATTCTCCTGCCTCAGCCTCCCAAGCAGCTGGGACTACAGGTGCCTAGCACCATGCCCAGCTAATTTTTATATTTTTAATAGACACAGGGTTTCACCATGTTGGCCAGGATGGTCTTGATCTCTTGACCTCGTGATCCGCCTGCCTTGGCCTCCCAAAGTGCTGGGATTACAGGCGTGAGCCACCGTGCCCAGCCTATTTTATGTATTTTATATTTATTTATTTATTTTTGAGATGGAGTTTCACTCTTGTTGCATAGGCTGGAGTGCAATGGCGCGATCTCGGCTCACTGCAACCTCTGCCTCCTGGGATCAAGTGATTCTCCTGCCTCAGCCTCCCAAGTAGCTGGGATTACAGGCATGCACCACCACGCCCAGCTAATTTTGTATTTTCAGTAGAGACAGGGTTTCACCATGTTGGCCAGGCTGGTCTTGAACTCCTGACCTTAGGTGATCTGCCTGCCTCGGCCTCCCAAAGTGCTGGGATTACAGAGTGAGCCACTGTGCCCAGCCTCATTATTTTATTTTATTTATTTATTTATTCATTTTTATTTATTTATTTTTTGGAGACGGAGTTTCGCTCTGTGGCCCAGGCTGGAGTGCAGTGGCATGATCTCGGCTCACTGCGAGCTCTGCCTCCCGGGTTCACGCCATTCTCCTGCCTCAGCCTCCCGATAGCTGGAACTACAGGCGCCTGCCACCACGCCCAGCTAATTTTTTGTATTTTTTGTAGAGATAGGGTTTCACCGTGTTAGCCAGGATGGTCTCGATCTCCTGACCTCGCGATCCACCCGCCTCAGCCTCCCAGAGTGCTGGGATTACAGGCGTGAGCCACCGCACCCGGCCCTATTTTATTTTTTAACTTGATGTACTCTTCGAACTTTTCATCATAAGCGTGCACTTCTTAATTTTGTAAGTAAACTTAACAAGCGATAGGATTGTTGGCTCTTTACGGCTTGCCAGTGTTTTTCCAGATTTTTGTTTGTTTCTTTGTTTGCTTTGTTAATGAGGCCCTCTGAGTCAGGCCCAGGTTGTCTTTCACAAGAACACTGTGATCCAGGTCCCCAGCCCCTTCTTTCCCAGCCCCACCTCCCCTAGACACATGGGTCCAGGCCTCCAGCCCCTCCTCCCTCAGACTCAGAGGCCCAGGCCCCCAGCCCCTTCTTTCCCAGCCCCAGG